GGTACCAGTACTGAGTTATACTCCCACCTTCCCCCACAGTGCCATGGGTTGTGGGACCAGACTGTTACCACGGAGACCGACACTCAGTGTCATCATGACGACCAGGCTGACTCCGCCCATGGCAACACCTCCATCAACATGGCCGACCCAAACAACACTCTGCGACGGCGAGGACGCAGACGAACACACTCGAGCTCCACCCAGCAGCGCTCTCCTGCAGGTCGAAGCGAACACACCCTCGGCCATAACCGATCAATATCCACGTATTGATTAGCTGAGAATTAGCAGTTTTAATTAATAACATTAAAGATACAACATTCAGGTTATTGATGCTTTGATTAGCAATCAGGTTATTGATACTTTGATTAGCAATCAGGTTATTGATACTTTGATTAGTAGTCAGGTTATTGATACTTTGGGAAGTTAACACGATTTGAAACTTTTCAGTGTCCTGTCATCAGAGCCATACAATCCTTCAGATAGGATCAGTTTTTCTCTGGTTTTATAAAGACACATCCAGAAGCCTTCGTGTCTCCAGATGGGAGCCCTGAGGAACGCCAGCTCTTTCTAATAATACCTCTACTGACACTGAGAACGGCCTCGATAACATCACAGAGAACGTGAGGGACAGTGTCAAAGGCAGACAGTGTGTAGACCAGCCTTCCATCTTCTGTGCAGCATCTGTCTGCTTTATTTCCTCCAACAATCTGTCCGTGAAGCTTTCAGGTGGCCAGTGGCTTCCCCTGAAGAACACACCTGACTGTCTTTGTGAGGTCAGCTGATGTTTCTTGTTGCTGTCTGCAGGCAGTGTAAGCTCTGGGACTCAGCAGCCCGGCAGGTTGGACCTGCTGCTGGACAAACTCAGAGAACTTTCCATCCGGGCCAAGCAGTACTCTGTTAGCAGGTGAGCTAAGCTAACGGTGGCATTCAGGTGTTTGTTGATGAGCTACGTTACCCACGGTTGCCCTCTCTCTCTGTCAGGTGTATGTCTCTTTACCATCCGCTCTGTCAGTTCTTCAGAGCTCTCGTCCAACCAGAGTACAGCGCCGTCACCGACGTCTACGTCCTCATGTTCCTCGCCGACACCGTCGACTTCATCATCATCGTGTTCGGCTTCTGGGCGTTCGGAGTAAATTTTAAAGTTTGCTGATGTTCACTGTTACCTGAAACTGTACCTGTCTGAACTCTGATTGGCTTTCATTCTGGTCACCTTCAGAAACACTCGGCTGCTGCTGACATCACTTCCTCCCTATCAGAGGACCAAGTTCCTGAAGCCTTCTTAGTCATGGTCCTCATCCAGTTCGGTCTGTCCACCTATCTCTCTGAACACCTGCCTGTCTGTCTGTACGTCTGTCTGCCTAGTTACCTGTCTTACCTGTCTGTCTGCAGGCACCATGGTGATAGACAGGGCTCTGTATCTGAGGAAGACCGTTTTGGGGAAGTTAGTCTTCCAGGTGATTTTGGTTTTTGGGATTCACTTCTGGATGTTCTTCATCCTGCCGACAGTCACTGAGAGGTAACTCACCTAAACCTGCAGCTTCGTTAACGCCGTGAAGACGAGGCACCATGTGACGCGTCTGTCTGTCTGTCTGTCCATCTGCAGGCGTTTCAATCAGAACCTGGTGGCTCAACTCTGGTACTTTGTCAAGTGCATTTACTTCGGTCTGTCGGCCTATCAGATCCGATCTGGTTACCCAACACGGGTTCTAGGAAACTTCCTGACGAAGAGCCACAACTACCTCAACCTGTTCCTGTTCCAGGGGTGAGTTCTTGCTTTCTTGCGTATTAATAAACGTACAGTCGCAGGTTGCAGCAAATATGCCGGATTTAGCACGAGGCTAATTTCCATCCGGTGTCCCACACACATGAAAGAAGGACACACAGGGATACGAACGTTCAAATTACAATAACAATAATAATAATAATAAAATCAATAAAAACAACAGTGGTGATGAGATTGAGTCAGACTGGGTTGTACCTACCCTAAAGTGCTGCTGTGTCTGGAAAGCGCTTTTCTTTGTCAAGATGTCTGATAAGCTGGTTTGCTGTCCACTTCTCAGCAACCTTCAAGACTATTGGGAGGATGCTGATTGGCCGATAGGTGGCTACCTGTGTCTTAGACCCAGTTTTAAAGATGAGTGTTACTGTGGCCTCCTTCAAGCAGATGGAACTGCTTTTTGACTGATTAACCATAAGAGCGATCGTATGGCTTTTAACAAAGTTAGTGTCGATCCCATGGACATCCTGAGCTTTGGAGCATTTAAGAGCTGAAACGGTCTTTGTTACTTTAGTCTCTGTTACGCTTTGAAGCTGGAAAGCTGATTGTCCTTTAAGGGACGAGGTATTATGGAAGACACAGCGAAGGCACTTGTGATACACTAGCTATGAAATAACTATTAAAGTGAGTTGCCACTGCCATAGGGTCCCTGCCCAGGGTGTTGTTCACTACGAGTTCAGGGGCTTTAGTCTCCTGTTTGTCTTGTTTACCTCATAGTTCATTTAAAATTTTCCATGTTTTTTTCCTGCTACCTTTGGCACTTTCTATGGTGGAAATGAAAAAGTTTGCTTTGGCCCTCCTTAGAATTTGTACGGTTTTGTTACATTCATGTCCACCTCTCAGTGGACAATCCTGACTTCAGATATTTCTTGAGTAGTGCCTCCCTTGATTTCAATACGTTTGTGTAGTTTTGGTCCGACCATGGTAGGTTCTTTTCCTTCTTGCCCCTATACCTTGCCCTGCTAGCAAACTAGGACATCACCTCTTTGATTTTACCTACAAACGATTTACAACTGATATCTACACTGTTTGAAGATAATGTTTCCTCCCAGTCTGCTGATTTTAGGGCTTCACTGAGGTTTACTGATT